ATTTAACCTACCTTAGGAACAGCCCCTTTACGGTTGTTTTGAGCATATTTTTGCGGACACTTTAAAAAGTTTGTTCGGCTAAGCGCCGGCCCATGGCAGCACAAAGAGTAGTTGATCGTCTCTTAATCTAATGTCTCTCTTTATAACCGTTTGTTTGCTTGTACTTATGCTCTTGCTGGTGCTTTGCTCTTTCTCGGCGTTAGTCAGCCGCTCATCAGAAAAAGCAGATCACACTTCAAATTCGATCATCACCGCAGTAAAACGTTTGGCTGTCTGGCACAGTGACCTGCCTGTCACAGAGTTCTAAAATAAACCTAACATAACCATATCAACTTCAACAGTCTTGAACCGGCCCCCACGTCTTCAATCGACCCATCGTTAACTCTCGTTATTAAATTCGCCCACCTTTCGCTAGTTTTGGATAATACATATATATTAACTGAAGTAAAATAAATTGTAAATATATTAACTGAACAATCATCGTCTCTTAAATAATCTTGCAAAAAAACGCTACTGAAGAAGCTCAGTAGCTCAACAAAGTTTGTTACTGTATTTCGATGACGCTTTATTGTTTTAGCAATAACACCGACTTTGACCCCACAATCAGCCATCGTCTTGATTTTAACCTTCTCTTCATTCGATAGTTCGTTTCCGCGGGGCATTTTAAATGAACAGTAATTTAAATTGAATTAAAATCTAAACTGAGCACAACGATTACACAGTAAATACGTTTTTACTAAATTAGACAAACGAGTTCATAAGTTTTTTTCGCGAGATCAGTTGCGTATCCCACTCAAAATGTAAATGAGTAACTTTGCAGAAATATCAACTTTCGTTGAAATTCTCATTTTGCATTCTTCTTAATGCTAACGGTACTAGAGATTAAAAGCTGATAAGAAATAAATGCATAAAAAAACATCACAAAGCATAATAGATAAAACATGCATACTCGAAAAGTAAATGCCGCTGTTAAAATAACGGTAGCATAGAAAAAACGAGAAGGAACGTGCGAGTCGCTTCAGGGACGCGACTCTACTTATACCCGTACTCAGTCAGTATATACATTTTTGATTTTGATTTGATTTTTTATACCCGTACTCAAAAAAGAGTTAAGGGGTATATTAGATTTGTGGTAAAAGTGGATGCGTGTAACGCAGAGAAGGAAAATTTTCCGACCCCATAAAGTATATATATTCTTGATCAGCATCAATAGCCGAGTCGATATAGCCATGTCTGTCTGTCCGTCTGTCCGTCCGTCCGTCCGTCCGTCTTGTTGAGCGCCTGGATCTCAGAGACTTTAAGAGTTAGGGTAACCAAATTTAGTTTCCAGACTCATGTGATATCACACTGCTACAAGTGTATTTCAAAATTTCGCCCCGCCTCCTTCCGCCCGCCACAAAGGACGAAAATCTGTGGCAGGCACAATTTTAAAGATACGATAAAACTAAAAACGCAGTATCGTAGAGAATGCCCATATCTACCAGATTGCCGAATCTGAATCAGATCGGATCATAATTATAGCCAGAATGAAGAAATTTTCTGTTGCTTCCCCTGCCCCCTCCAGCCGACAACAACGCAACTCATTTTCCTTCTCGCTCGCACACTCTGCCGCGCTCAGTGCGCGAGCAACCCCTAGCGGAGGAGATGTAGAATCTAATTGGAACATGTACAATCTACATGTTAGATGTAGAATATACATTGTATATGTAGATGTAGATATCATATGTAGCAAAAAAATTTAATATGTAAAATTTTTTTTTTTCTAAAATTCTTAAAAATCATAAGCTCAAAAATGTATATACTGACTGAGTACGGGTATAAGTAGAGTCGCGTCCTCAGAAGCGACTCACACGTTCCTTCTCGTTAGAATTTTAGAACTAAAAAAAATTTTTTTTTTCTACATCTGTTAACTAAATTTACATCTAAAATGTATATTATACATCTAACATGTAGATTACATATGTACCATTTAGATTATACAATTCCTCCGCTAGTGGGCGCTCGCGTACATAGCTAGGCAGAGATTGCGAGCGAGAAAGAGAATGAGTAGCGGGTATCTTCCTGGAGAAGGTGGGGGAAGCAACTGAAAATTAATTTCTTCATTCTGGCTATAATTATGATCCGATCTTATTCAAACTCGGCAATCTGGTAGATATGGTAATTCTTTACGATATTGCGTCCTTTGTGGGGGCGGAAGGGGTCGGTGTGAAATTTTTAAATACACTTTTAGCAGTGTGATATCACATGAGTCTGGAAACCAAAATTGGTTTCTGTAGCTTTTATAGTTCCTGAGATCTAGGCTCTCATCGAGACGGACGGACAGACGGACATGGACATATCGACTAGGCTATTGATGCTGATCAAGAATATATATACTTTATGGGGTCGGAACCGTTTCCTTCTCTGCGTTGCACACATCCACTTTTACCACAAATACAATATACCCCTTAACTCTTTTTTGAGTACGGGTATAAAAATCTTGCACAAATATCAATTTTACTGAGGTATATGTCAATAGGGTAAATTTACCTTTTAATAATTTAGAAATTAATATACCGAAAAAATTCTATGGAAATCGGTTTTTATTGGCTTTTCATGATTTTTGGCCTGGTGTACCTTTTGGCACACATTAAGCCATCAATGAGAAAAGTTGGATACCAACTATTATAATGCATAGCGGAGGGAGCATAGTGGTTTGTGGGTGTAGTTGGGCCTGTACGAATGATCTACATTCATGGAAAAATTGACAAGGGAATGTATAATGATAGTTAAAGTAACAAATTGCATCCATGTGACATTCATTTTGGGCATAATCCTAAGACAACCGTGTACCAGCTAAAATACCAAATACCGAAAAAAATTAATCTTTCTTTGATTACACTACTCGACAAAATCCAACTTTTTTTCCTCAAGGACTTTAAAATTTTTTATAGAATTATGGTTTTTTTTTCTATGACAACTTTTTTTTTAAGAATTTTTGAAATCTGGAATTTTTTTGTATAGCTTTTTTCAAAACTCTAGTATCTTACGTCTGGTTGTAAAGAACTTTGCTATTTTGAAAAGATAATTAAAACAGCTACACGGTAAGCCCTTCAAAAAAATTATCATCAAACCATTTCTAAGCCCTAAATCTTTAAGAAAAAGTTGGGTTTGTTCATTGAGGAGTACTCGTGTTGAGTAGTATTACAGCCTAGCACTCAGATCCAAAAACTGATTGCTAGCAAACAAATGTCATATATTCTTCTAGCGGCCAGTGGTGTGACCAGAGGTGTGCACTGCATTCCGTACGGTTACACTCAGACAGCTGCTTAGTTTTTTTTTAAGTTAATAAAATTCACTGCTTTGGCTGGGGTCGCTCTTCCGCAGGCATATCCTGGGCTCCCCAATATTTTATTGGCAAGGTAATGTGTCTGACTATCAGCAGCAGCAGATGGCGACGCCTGCCGTGCCAAACACCATAAAGTATATATATTCTTGATCAGCATCAATAGCCGAGTCGATAGTCTTTCCATATCTTTCCATAATCACTAGTGAAATGGAAAACCGCGCAGACCAAACTCGAACTAAGGCTGGGGTGGACACCTTTCAAGATTCAATTCGAATAGGGTTCATTTTGCAGTTTTATATATTTTATCATATCAAAACAATTTGTTTTTATTTTTTTCTTTTATGATATAAAATAATTGATTTTTCAAATATGTACTTTTATAATTTCAAAGCAAAAAAACATCCCATATCGTGCGAGTCAAACAAAACAAAGTATTCGTCAACTCTAGCAGTTGTCTGGCAACTTTAAAGTTTTACCAAAAATTCAACCCCTTTTGGTTTGCTTTGTTTCCAATTGGCAGTTGGGCCTGCAACATTCAAAAAAGTATTTTTTGTCTATTTTTTCACTTTTGAGGTTTGGTTAACGAATTTTAGCTCCACCGTTTATCCATAGATTTTAATTAATGCGTCTATCTAAAACTAAAAATGTTGGCCAAGAATTATTTTTTTTTTCGACTTTTCCCGAGTTATTAAAATCAAAATATCGAAAAAAAATACCGCAGAAAACAATAAAATTTGAATTTGAAAGCTTAATATCTTTCAGGCGTTAAGCTGCAGATACAAAAAGTCTGGGACGGATTTATAGCTGCATTTGTTAGCTTTTCAGAACTGCAAAGGTCTATGCAACCAGATATAAGATACTTAGTTATGTGAAAAATAGAAGCACTACCTCTGAAAAATAACAAAAAAAAAAATACCAGATTTTACAAAATTCTTTAAAGAATTCGTTAAAAAATTGTAAACCCCGAAATCTATAAGAATCTTTATTTTGGGCCACAGCACAATTCTAGTATTGACTAGTGTTATCAGTGGCTATTCTATTTTTTATCCATTATTTGAAGTTTGGTTTTTTCAACTAATTTTTCTTTTAGCCCTAGGGGGGGGCCCTAGGTCCCGTCGTCAGACGAAACTCAAAACGGTTTCGGAAAATAAGACTTTTGTCGTGCCTGTGTACACACATACATTTGCAATTCTCGGCTTGCTTTCGTATCTCGTCATGAATCGAACATGTCGAAAAAATGCCGAACGTCTCAGGTCCACGACCCGAACGTCTCAGGTCCAGCAGCCGAAGACCTGGAGACCTGGGACAGAAAACTCAGCTGCGACACGTTCGGTGTATGAACTGGCACATCTATATACTGTATGGTTAGTGGCATGGGCCTATCTATTGTGAGGAGCTGCTGTTGCGCTGCCGACACAATGTTCCGTTTTGCCTGCTGTATTCGCAGGCGCAAGCGCACTGCAAACCTGTGCATGTGTGTGTGTATAATAACATGTGTGAATAATATGTGTGCTTACTGTACGTATGTATATTAAAATCTTTTTATACATCAATTAAAGTAAACAATAAATACCAACAAACGGGGTATTGATAATTGTTCGAATTGTAATAAACGATCATAAATTAACCTAAATAAAAAAGAATAGTATGAATACTTCGAAAATTTACGTACCAAAATGTTGCCCATTAACATCGAATTTGGACATGGACATAACTTCGAATTCGCTTGCCATTGCAGGTGAGCAAGATATTAGCACCGGTAGAGCTATTAGAAGAAAATAAGGTATGCCACTTCTAAATATGTCAGAAAAACTATCTGCCTCGTTCAACATCTTATGCTTATTGATTGAACAAATTAATATAATAATAAAAGTAGCCGGGTGGATGAGCAGGTGACCAATGCAGTATGACCACGGATTTATTGATCAAATATACCTACGGCCGTCAGAAATATACTGAAATATACCGTGCCCAGGAATTATTCGAAAATCGTATGTTTTGTATAGCCTTTTCACACTGGCAACCCCCACCTGCATTTCTGGGATGGTTATTCCACCATCCATCTGGGATGCTCTTAATTATCACGTTACTATGCGATAATTTTTCGATAAATTTCAAATGCTACTCTAAATATTTGAGATTCACAACGAAAAAACGGAACTCACTACGAAAATGTAAAAAATTACAGACAGGAAAATGGGAAAAACAACAACACACAGTCCATCAGCTGTTTTCGTTTTTTCGTTTAAGCCTAGTAATCAGATCCGAGAAAACACCTCACGAACAGAATCAGGGTTGATATTCGTATGAAACTGATAAGAAATTTTTTCGGGCAAAAACTGTTTTCTAGGCTCTGTACGGAAGGCAGTACTCAGATCAAGAAAATACTAGAAGGAACGTCCCAGTTGATTCTGGGGACGCGACTCTACTTATACCCGAACTCAGTCAGTATATACATTTTTGATTTTGATTTAATTTTTTACAATTTTAGACTTTTACACTTTACATGTTTTTGCTACATCTGTTAACTAGATCTATTATATTATATATATAATATGTAGATTATATATGTACCATTTAGATTATACATCTCCTCCGCTAGAGCGCGCTCGCGTACATAACTAGGCAGAGTGTGCGAGCGAGAAAGAGAATGAGTAGCGGGTCTCTTCCTGGAGAAGGTGGGGGAAGCAACTGAAAATTAATATCTTCATTCTGGCTATAATTATGATCCGATCTGATTCAGACTCGGCAATCTGGTAGATATGGTCATTCTTTACGATATTGCGTCCATTGTGGGGGCGGAAGGGGGCGGGGTGAAATTTTGAAATACACTTGTAGCAGTCTGATACCACATGAGTCCGGAAACCAAATTTGGTTTCGCTAGCTCTTATACAGGGGTGCCACAGAAAACACTTCCGCTGGAAAATAACCTAAATTCCATTCTGGGGTGCCACAGACCGATATATCAGCGGAATCAAAATCGCTCACAATTTATCCAGCGTATTGATTAAATACACCCATAAAATTTACCTAAAAACGTTTCGAATTTTACCTTCCCAAAAAGGTTGTTCATATGGGGATTAACCCTCATCTAAATAATTTAACATTATACATGTTAAGTTAATAAAATAAGCATTTTAGTAAATCACTATCCAATCCGCTGACTGAATTTTCAATTAACGATTCCGCGTTCAATCCGCTGCAGTACGAGGTAGCCACCTAGGGCGATTCGGACTTTCGAAGGTAATACAGTAATGCCACCTTTTTTAAGTCGAATTCGGAGCAATATATTTAATATTAATTATATTGAAAGCATTCTGTTGTTCTTTAATTAAGCATTACAAAAAATAGCTCATTGCAGTAAAACTCCCTTCAAGTAAAACGTGTGCACACTTTTTGTGCGAATTGTGAAAACATTTGCAGTCAAAACAGAACTAATAAACCATTTCTACAAATTATTACCAATGCATTTATGTCAAAAACCCGTGTTCGGATAAGGGCAGACCCATGGCAGCACAAATAGAAGCATAGCGATCATTATACGAAAAACTGGTAATTGTAATGAGCTAAATTAGCAGTACTTTCAGAAAACAATGACAAAAACCACATACGTATCGTCTGAACGATGCGGATCTAAGAAGCCTGTGCTGCAAGGTTTATATTCTAATCTGTTGCCTCCGTAGTTATTCAATGGCCAACAGTCTCGGTAAAATTCAGATGTCTACTTTTTTTGAACATCTGATTGCAGCCATGCACGGAGAGTTGGCAGACAACTGCTAGAGTTGCCGAGTACTTTGTTTTGTTTGATTCGCACGATATGGGATGTTTTTTTGCTTTGAAATTATAAAAGAACAGATTTGAAAAATCAATTAGAGATTATATCATAAAAAAAAAAATTAAAAACAAATTATTTTGATATGATAAAATATATAAAACTGCAAAATGAACCCTATTCGAATTGAATCTTGAAAGGTGTCCACCCCAGCCTTAGTTCGAGTTTGGTCTGCGCGGTTTTCCATTTCACTAGTGATCATGGAAAGAGATGGAAAGACTATCGACTCGGCTATTGATGCTGATCAAGAATATATATACTTTATGGGGTCGGAAACGTTTCCTTCTCTGCGTTGCACACAACCACTTTTACCAGACATACAATATACCCCTTAAATCTTTTTTGAGTATGAAAAGTATCCGAAGTATTTGCTTGTATTGCTGGTATGTTTCGACCCACCTCGAAAGTTATATCAATTTGATATATTTTGCCAGCAAACACGAAGCAAAAATTGCAATATATAGAATCTAATTAATGCAGCATTATATGAAGGACAATTATATGGATATAATAATATCTTATATTTATTAATTTGCATAAATATAAAACAAATATTGTTTTCAAAACAATTTGTCTTCACGGTGCTTGACACAGGAGGCGTCGCCATCTGCTGCTGCTGATAGTCAGACACATTACCTTGCCAATAAAATATTGGGGAGCCCAGGATATGCCTGGGGAAGAGCGACCCCAGCCAAAGCAGTGCATTTTATTAATTTAAAAAAAAAACTAACTAAAAACTCAACTAAAACTATTTCAACCCTGTTCGCCTATCGTTTGAATTATCACCACTAGCAACAACAACAAAAACATGTTGCTTACCATGAAAAATGGGGGGAAAAGGTCAATTCATATATAATCCTTAAAATCAATAAATTTAGCCAATTTTATCATTAGATGCAAATTCTTGTGGCCCCTTTTGGCTTTACAGACACTTCTAGACTTATAGGAGGACGTGGTGTACGGAAGAATTTTCAAAATATATTATTGAAAATCTTTAGAAATAAATGAATTTGAATAATTGAATTTATTATTTATTGAGAACTATTCATGAAATGTAGCCTCAAAACTTTTCTTTCTATATTAATAATTTGGTTGATAAATACAATTTTGTTAAAAACACTCAGAACGTGCTGTTGTCAAAACTCATAGCTCAATAACTCCAGTTTGTGCCAGTGTAGACTCCAATTCTGAGTTATTGAGTTAACTCAACCATCGATAGGTAGCTCATGTAGGTGTTAATAGGCTTTTAGGGCTAAGGTCCGTGTTTCCTGTATATTTCCTGTGTTCGGTATGGGGATGGAATGTCGTGCTACGTCACCCGAACGAATTTCGATGGGACCAGGGTGAGGTGCTGATGTGGTAACTCGCGTCATGCGGCAGCGCCACTCGGTCGGTCGTCAAGACAATAAAAACAAAAGAACCTGTTGTAAAATGTCGTTCTTTATACAGTAAAACCCTATGCTAATTAATGTTTCTTAAATTATTTAATTTCATTCTAGTTTTCCACATTCAGGAATGGCTCCACGCTCTCGTCTCAATGGCACCTTGTTGAGACGTTTCCGAGGTACTAAGTCCTTAAACCCGCGTCCAGGCCGCTCGAGCTCTCCAGCTCCTTCGTCCCGAGACGAACACCGTCCTCGTCTTCCCATCCGTCGCCCCGTCGCAGAATCCCTGTTGCCATCCGTGGACTCCCTTCTGCATTACCAAAGCCTTTACATGCTCTCGGAGGCCCTGGCCGTGGTGGTACTGGATCCAAATTTTTGGAACGGCAAAACGTTACGGGTCGTGTCCAGTGTGAATAGTGTATTAGAGTCTCCCATTTGTTCAGCCGTAGTAAAGATAAAAATAATTTCAGCATTTAAATGATCAACCCAACAAATGGTAATTGAATACAATATATATTTTAAAACGAAAAAATTTTGTTTTTAAGATTTAATTTTTTTCAGCAAATTGGGACAGGTTCCCCTAGTTTATTATATACCCCTGATGTTGAATGCTTGATTGTAAAAACTCACTTTTTTATATTCGTAATTCTAAATTGTTTTCAGCTAACAAAAACTTCTTAAACGTTTCTATGTACTCCTGTGTATCTTTGTACTTGAAAACCACGATGTCGCCCATGTTTACAACAACTTTATTGTCTTTAATTAAATCATCTAATAACTTGTTAACGAACCTTTGAAAGACCCATTGGCATTCTGAGGAACTCGCATTGTCCTAAAGCTGTCACGAAAATTGATATGATGGAATACTTAAAATACTTAAATAAAATATAAAAAGAAATTAAAATATATATATACATAGGTGCCACAAACTGTCAAACTGTTCTCGTTTTTACATAGGTTCAGCATAGGATTGTAGTGGTGCCAAAAAATTGAGTTATTGTTGCGTTTCAGTTTCGTTCGATTTTCCGAATATTTCAACCCTGTTCGCCTATCGTTTGAATTATCACCACTAGCAACAACAACAAAAACATGTTGCTTACCATGAAAAATGGGGGGAAAAGGTCTAATCATATATAATCCTTAAAAACAATAAATTTGTCTGAGCAGTGTAACTGTACGGAATGCAGTGCACAGTTCTGGTCTTACCACTGGCCGCTAGAAGAATATATGACATTTATTGGTTGCAATCAGTTTTTGGATCTGGGTACTAGGCTTTAGAATAAATAAAACTTGAAGAAAAATAAACTTGTATATGTAATATATTAATGGATATATGCATTTGCTTCTTTTTCCTATGCATTATTATTTAACAGCCATTACAAAAACCACAAGCGGCACGTTGAAGTTGTTTTCTGAAATTTGGAATATTTAGATTTGAGTGTTTGGAAGAAATCCCATGTTTATATGGGCTGAAATCGAACTTTTCATGTACATATCTACGCCAGGCATCGTCGAATTAGTTTAAGACTCATTAATACATTTGTAACAACATTATTAACTTGCACAAAATAATTGCTTTTGCTTTTGAACGACAGCCAATACAATTGCCAAATTATTATCCATTCTTTCTTAATTAACAATAACATTTTCCGCACAAATCTTAGTTATTTTTTGCTCATACAGCTGTTTTTCATGGATGGTTGGTGGTGCCAGTGTGAATCGGTCTTTCTCATATTTCAATCCTACCGTTCCGCCGGGATGGGCTCAGTGTGCAGAGCCTATTAACGAAAGTGTCCGACTGCGCCAGCTATGATAGTAGTTATAGTCTGCTTACACTACGGTTGAGTTATTGCTTTTTGTGGAAAGCTCAGTTTTTATACCCGTACTCAAAAGAGTTATCTTTGTGGTAAAAGTGGATGAAACCGTTTCCGACCCCATAAGGTATACAAATTTTTGATCAGCATCAATAGCCGAGTCTGTTCGTCTGTCCGTCTATATGTGCGCCCAGATCTCGGAGTCTATAAGAGCTAGAGAAACCAAATTTTGTTTCAAGGCTCACAATGCTACAAGTGAATTTTAAATTTAAAAGAACGAAAATCTGGGACAGCCACAATTTTAAAGATACCAGACAAGTTAAAATGTAGTATCGAAGAGAATGGCCATATCTACCAGATTGCCGAACCTTAATCAGCTTGGATCATAATTATGGCCAGAGTAAAGAAATTAATTTGCAGTGGCTTCCCGCACCTCCTACGTCGGTTCTAACGCTTCCTTTTCTCTTGCTCGCTCGCAGACACTCTGCCATATGCAGTGCGTGAACTTCCGCAGAGAAGATCTATAATGTAGAGTATAATCTACATTTCAGATGTAGAATAAACATATTAGATTTAGGTGACAAATGTAGCAAAAAAATGTAAAATATTATAAAATTCTATATAAATCATAAGCTCACAAATTTATGTACTGACTGAATACGGGTATGAAAGTAGAGTCGCGTCCAAAGAAGCGACTCACACGTTCTTTCTCGTTTTTACATAGGTTCAGCATAGGATTGTAGTGGTGCCAAAAAATTGAGTTATTGTTGCGTTTCAGTTTCGTTCGATTTTCCGAATATTTCAACCCTGTTCGCCTATCGTTTGAATTATCACCACTAGCAACAACAACAAAAACATGTTGCTTACCATGAAAAATGGGGGGAAAACCCTTTTGGCTTTACAGACACTTCTAGACTTATAGAGGACGTGGTGTACGGAAGAATTTTCAAAATATATTATTGAAAATCTTTAGAAATAAATTAATTTGAATAATTGAATTTATTATTCATTGAGAATTATTCATGAAATGTAGCCTCAAAACTTTTCTTTCTATATTAATAATTTGGTTGATATATACAATTTTGTTAAAAACACTCAGAACGTGCTGTTGTCAAAACTCATAGCTCAATAACTCCAGTTTGTGCCAGTGTAGACTCCAATTCTGAGTTATTGAGTTAACTCAACCATCGATAGGTAGCTCATGTAGGTGTTAATAGGCTTTTAGGGCTAAGGTCCGTGTTTCCTGTATATTTCCTGTGTTCGGTATAGGGATGGAATGTCGTGCTACGTCAGCCGAACGAATTTCGATGGGACCAGGGTGAGGTGCTGATGTGGTAACTCGCGTCATGCGGCAGCGCCACTCGGTCGGTCGTCAAGACAATAAAAACAAAAGAACCTGTTGTAAAATGTCGTTCTTTATACAGTAAAACCCTATGCTAATTAATGTTTCTTAAATTATTTAATTTCATTCTAGTTTTCCACATTCAGGAATGGCTCCACGCTCTCGTCTCAATGGCACCTTGTTGAGACGTTTCCGAGGTACTAAGTCCTTAAACCCGCGTCCAGGCCGCTCGAGCTCTCCAGCTCCTTCGTCCCGAGACGAACACCGTCCTCGTCTTCCCATCCGTCGCCCCGTCGCAGAATCCCTGTTGCCATCCGTGGACTCCCTTCTGCATTACCAAAGCCTTTACATGCTCTCGGAGGCCCTGGCCGTGGTGGTACTGGATCCAAATTTTTGGAACGGCAAAACGTTACGGGTCGTGTCCAGTGTGAATAGTGTATTAGAGTCTCCCATTTGTTCAGCCGTAGTAAAGATAAAAATAATTTCAGCATTTAAATGATCAACCCAACAAATGGTAATTGAATACAATATATATTTTAAAACGAAAAAATTTTGTTTTTAAGATTTAATTTTTTTCAGCAAATTGGGACAGGTTCCCCTAGTTTATTATATACCCCTGATGTTGAATGCTTGATTGTAAAAACTCACTTTTTTATATTCGTAATTCTAAATTGTTTTCAGCTAACAAAAACTTCTTAAACGTTTCTATGTACTCCTGTGTATCTTTGTACTTGAAAACCACGATGTCGCCCATGTTTACAACAACTTTATTGTCTTTAATTAAATCATCTAATAACTTGTTAACGAACCTTTGAAAGACCCATTGGCATTCTGAGGAACTCGCATTGTCCTAAAGCTGTCACGAAAATTGATATGATGGAATACTTAAAATACTTAAATAAAATATAAAAAGAAATTAAAATATATATATACATAGGTGCCACAAACTGTCAAACTGTTCTCGTTTTTACATAGGTTCAGCATAGGATTGTAGTGGTGCCAAAAAATTTAGTTATTGTTGCGTTTCAGTTTCGTTCGATTTTCCGAATATTTCAACCCTGTTCGCCTATCGTTTGAATTATCACCACTAGCAACAACAACAAAAACATGTTGCTTACCATGAAAAATGGGGGGAAAAGGTCTAATCATATATAATCCTTAAAAACAATAAATTTGTCTGAGCAGTGTAACTGTACGGAATGCAGTGCACAGTTCTGGTCTTACCACTGGCCGCTAGAAGAATATATGACATTTATTGGTTGCAATCAGTTTTTGGATCGGGATAGGCTTTAGAATAAATAAAACTTGAAGAAAAATAAACTTGTATATGTAATATATTAATGGATATATGCATTTGCTTTTTTTTCCTATGCATTATTATTTAACAGCCATTACAAAAACCACAAGCGGCACGTTGAAGTTGTTTTCTGAAATTTGGAATATTTAGATTTGAGTGTTTGGAAGAAATCCCATGTTTATATGGGCTGAAATCGAACTTTTCATGTACATATCTACGCCAGGCATCGTCGAATTAGTTTAAGACTCATTAATACATTTGTAACAACATTATTAACTTGCACAAAATAATTGCTTTTGCTTTTGAACGACAGCCAATACAATTGCCAAATTATTATCCATTCTTTCTTAATTAACAATAACATTTTCCGCACAAATCTTAGTTATTTTTTGCTCATACAGCTGTTTTTCATGGATGGTTGGTGGTGCCAGTGTGAATCGGTCTTTCTCATATTTCAATCCTACCGTTCCGCCGGGATGGGCTCAGTGTGCAGAGCCTATTAACGAAAGTGTCCGACTGCGCCAGCTATGATAGTAGTTATAGTCTGCTTACACTACGGTTGAGTTATTGCTTTTTGTGGAAAGCTCAGTTTTTATACCCGTACTCAAAAGAGTTATCTTTGTGGTAAAAGTGGATGAAACCGTTTCCGACCCCATAAGGTATACAAATTTTTGATCAGCATCAATAGCCGAGTCTGTTCGTCTGTCCGTCTATATGTGCGCCCAGATCTCGGAGTCTATAAGAGCTAGAGAAACCAAATTTTGTTTCAAGGCTCACAATGCTACAAGTGAATTTTAAATTTAAAAGAACGAAAATCTGGGACAGCCACAATTTTAAAGATACCAGACAAGTTAAAAGTGTTGTGCCTACTCACCGAAGAGAATCAGCTTGGATCATAATTATGGCCAGAGTAAAGAAATTAATTTGCAGTGGCTCCCGCACCTCCTACGTCGGTTCTAACGCTTCCTTTTCTCTTGCTCGCTCGCAGACACTCTGCCATATGCAGTGCGTGAACTTCCGCAGAGAAGATCTATAATGTAGAGTATAATCTACATTTCAGATGTAGAATAAACATATTAGATTTAGGTGACAAATGTAGCAAAAAAATGTAAAATATTATAAAATTCTATATAAATCATAAGCTCACAAATTTATGTACTGACTGAATACGGGTATGAAAGTAGAGTCGCGTCCAAAGAAGCGACTCACACGTTCTTTCTCGTTTTTACATAGGTTCAGCATAGGATTGTAGTGGTGCCAAAAAATTGAGTTATTGTTGCGTTTCAGTTTCGTTCGATTTTCCGAATATTTCAACCCTGTTCGCCTATCGTTTGAATTATCACCACTAGCAACAACAACAAAAACATGTTGCTTACCATGAAAAATGGGGGGAAAACCCTTTTGGCTTTACAGACACTTCTAGACTTATAGAGGACGTGGTGTACGGAAGAATTTTCAAAATATATTATTGAAAATCTTTAGAAATAAATTAATTTGAATAATTGAATTTATTATTCATTGAGAATTATTCATGAAATGTAGCCTCAAAACTTTTCTTTCTATATTAATAATTTGGTTGATATATACAATTTTGTTAAAAACACTCAGAACGTGCTGTTGTCAAAACTCATAGCTCAATAACTCCAGTTTGTGCCAGTGTAGACTCCAATTCTGAGTTATTGAGTTAACTCAACCATCGATAGGTAGCTCATGTAGGTGTTAATAGGCTTTTAGGGCTAAGGTCCGTGTTTCCTGTATATTTCCTGTGTTCGGTATAGGGATGGAATGTCGTGCTACGTCAGCCGAACGAATTTCGATGGGACCAGGGTGAGGTGCTGATGTGGTAACTCGCGTCATGCGGCAGCGCCACTCGGTCGGTCGTCAAGACAATAAAAACAAAAGAACCTGTTGTAAAATGTCGTTCTTTATACAGTAAAACCCTATGCTAATTAATGTTTCTTAAATTATTTAATTTCATTCTAGTTTTCCACATTCAGGAATGGCTCCACGCTCTCGTCTCAATGGCACCTTGTTGAGACGTTTCCGAGGTACTAAGTCCTTAAACCCGCGTCCAGGCCGCTCGAGCTCTCCAGCTCCTTCGTCCCGAGACGAACACCGTCCTCGTCTTCCCATCCGTCGCCCCGTCGCAGAATCCCTGTTGCCATCCGTGGACTCCCTTCTGCATTACCAAAGCCTTTACATGCTCTCGGAGGCCCTGGCCGTGGTGGTACTGGATCCAAATTTTTGGAACGGCAAAACGTTACGGGTCGTGTCCAGTGTGAATAGTGTATTAGAGTCTCCCATTTGTTCAGCCGTAGTAAAGATAAAAATAATTTCAGCATTTAAATGATCAACCCAACAAATGGTAATTGAATACAATATATATTTTAAAACGAAAAAATTTTGTTTTTAAGATTTAATTTTTTTCAGCAAATTGGGACAGGTTCCCCTAGTTTATTATATACCCCTGATGTTGAATGCTTGATTGTAAAAACTCACTTTTTTATATTCGTAATTCTAAATTGTTTTCAGCTAACAAAAACTTCTTAAACGTTTCTATGTACTCCTGTGTATCTTTGTACTTGAAAACCACGATGTCGCCCATGTTTACAACAACTTTATTGTCTTTAATTAAATCATCTAATAACTTGTTAACGAACCTTTGAAAGACCCATTGGCATTCTGAGGAACTCGCATTGTCCTAAAGCTGTCACGAAAATTGATATGATGGAATACTTAAAATACTTAAATAAAATATAAAAAGAAATTAAAATATATATATACATAGGTGCCACAAACTGTCAAACTGTTCTCGTTTTTACATAGGTTCAGCATAGGATTGTAGTGGTGCCAAAAAATTTAGTTATTGTTGCGTTTCAGTTTCGTTCGATTTTCCGAATATTTCAACCCTGTTCGCCTATCGTTTGAATTATCACCACTAGCAACAACAACAAAAACATGTTGCTTACCATGAAAAATGGGGGAAAGGGTCTAATCATATATAATCCTTAAAAACAATAAATTTGTCTGAGCAGTGTAACTGTACGGAATGCAGTGCACAGTTCTGGTCTTACCGGCTGGCCGCTAGAAGAATATATGACATTTATTGGTTGCAATCAGTTTTTGGATCTGGGTACTAGGCTTTAGAATAAATAAAACTTGAAGAAAAATAAACTTGTATATGTAATATATTAATGGATATATGCATTTGCTTTTTTTCCTATGCATTATTATTTAACAGCCATTACAAAAACCACAAGCGGCACGTTGAAGTTGTTTTCTGAAATTTGGAATATTTAGATTTGAGTGTTTGGAAGAAATCCCATGTTTATATGGGCTGAAATCGAACTTTTCATGTACATATCTACGCCAGGCATCGTCGAATTAGTTTAAGACTCATTAATACATTTGTAACAACATTATTAACTTGCACAAAATAATTGCTTTTGCTTTTGAACGACAGCCAATACAATTGCCAAATTATTATCCATTCTTTCTTAATTAACAATAACATTTTCCGCACAAATCTTAGTTATTTTTTGCTCATACAGCTGTTTTTCATGGATGGTTGGTGGTGCCAGTGTGAATCGGTCTTTCTCATATTTCAATCCTACCGTTCCGCCGGGATGGGCTCAGTGTGCAGAGCCTATTAACGAAAGTGTCCGACTGCGCCAGCTATGATAGTAGTTATAGTCTGCTTACACTACGGTTGAGTTATTGCTTTTTGTGGAAAGCTCAGTTTTTATACCCGTACTCAAAAGAGTTATCTTTGTGGTAAAAGTGGATGAAACCGTTTCCGACCCCATAAGGTATACAAATTTTTGATCAGCATCAATAGCCGAGTCTGTTCGTCTGTCCGTCTATATGTGCGCCCAGATCTTGGAGTCTATAAGAGCTAGAGAAACCAAATTTTGTTTCAAGGCTCACAATGCTACAAGTGAATTTTAAATTTAAAAGAACGAAAATCTGGGACAGCCACAATTTTAAAGATACCAGACAAGTTAAAATGTAGTATCGAAGAGAATGGCCATATCTACCAGATTGCCGAACCTTAATCAGCTTGGATCATAATTATGGCCAGAGTAAAGAAATTAATTTGCAGTGGCTTTCCGCACCTCCTACGTCGGTTCTAACGCTTCCTTTTCTCTTGCTCGCTCGCAGACACTCTGCCATGCAGTGCGTGAACTTCCGCAGAGAAGATCTATAATGTAGAGTATAATCTACATTTCAGATGTAGAATAAACATATTAGATTTAGGTGACAAATGTAGCAAAAAAATGTAAAATATTATAAAATTCTATATAAATCATAAGCTCACAAATTTATGTACTGACTGAATACGGGTATGAAAGTAGAGTCGCGTCCAAAGAAGCGACTCACACGTTCTTTCTCGTTTTTACATAGGTTCAGCATAGGATTGTAGTGGTGCCAAAAAATTGAGTTATTGTTGCGTTTCAGTTTCGTTCGATTTTCCGAATATTTCAACCCTGTTCGCCTATCGTTTGAATTATCACCACTAGCAACAACAACAAAAACATGTTGCTTACCATGAAAAATGGGGGGAAAACCCTTTTGGCTTTACAGACACTTCTAGACTTATAGAGGACGTGGTGTACGGAAGAATTTTCAAAATATATTATTGAAAATCTTTAGAAATAAATTAATTTGAATAATTGAATTTATTATTCATTGAGAATTATTCATGAAATGTAGCCTCAAAACTTTTCTTTCTATATTAATAATTTGGTTGATATATACAATTTTGTTAAAAACACTCAGAACGTTCTGTTGTCAAAACTCATAGCTCAATAACTCCAGTTTGTGCCAGTGTAGACTCCAATTCTGAGTTATTGAGTTAACTCAACCATCGATAGGTAGCTCATGTAGGTGTTAATAGGCTTTTAGGGCTAAGGTCCGTGTTTCCTGTATATTTCCTGTGTTCGGTATAGGGATGGAATGTCGTGCTACGTCAGCCGAACGAATTTCGATGGGACCAGGGTGAGGTGCTGATGTGGTAACTCGCGTCATGCGGCAGCGCCACTCGGTCGGTCGTCAAGACAATAAAAACAAAAGAACCTGTTGTAAAATGTCGTTCTTTATACAGTAAAACCCTATGCTAATTAATGTTTCTTAAATTATTTAATTTCATTCTAGTTTTCCACATTCAGGAATGGCTCCACGCTCTCGTCTCAATGGCACCTTGTTGAGACGTTTCCGAGGTACTAAGTCCTTAAACCCGCGTCCAGGCCGCTCGAGCTCTCCAGCTCCTTCGTCCCGAGACGAACACCGTCCTCGTCTTCCCATCCGTCGCCCCGTCGCAGAATCCCTGTTGCCATCCGTGGACTCCCTTCTGCATTACCAAAGCCTTTACATGCTCTCGGAGGCCCTGGCCGTGGTGGTACTGGATCCAAATTTTTGGAACGGCAAAACGTTACGGGTCGTGTCCAGTGTGAATAGTGTATTAGAGTCTCCCATTTGTTCAGCCGTAGTAAAGATAAAAATAATTTCAGCATTTAAATGATCAACCCAACAAATGGTAATTGAATACAATATATATTTTAAAACGAAAAAATTTTGTTTTTAAGATTTAATTTTTTTCAGCAAATTGGGACAGGTTCCCCTAGTTTATTATATACCCCTGATGTTGAATGCTTGATTGTAAAAACTCACTTTTTTATATTCGTAATTCTAAATTGTTTTCAGCTAACAAAAACTTCTTAAACGTTTCTATGTACTCCTGTGTATCTTTGTACTTGAAAACCACGATGTCGCCCATGTTTACAACAACTTTATTGTCTTTAATTAAATCATCTAATAACTTGTTAACGAACCTTTGAAAGATCCATTGGCATTCTGAGGAACTCGAATTGTCCTAAAGCTGTCACGAAAATTGATATGGTGGAATACTTAAAATACTTAAATAAAATATAAAAAGAAATTAAAATATATATATACATAGGTGCCACAAACTGTCAAACTGTTTTCGTTTTTACATAGGTTCAGCATAGGATTGTAGTGGTGCCAAAAAATTTAGTTATTGTTGCGTTTCAGTTGCGTTCGATTTTCCAAATATTTTAACCCTGTTCGCCTATCGTTTGAATTATCACCAATAGCAACAACAACAAAAACATGTTACTTACCATGAAAAATGGGGGGAAAAGGTCAATTCATATATAATTCTTAAAATCAATAAATTTAGCCAATTTTATCATTAGATGCAAATTCTTGTGGCCGCTTTTGGCTTTACAGACACTTCTAGACTTATAGGAGGACGTGGTGTACGGAAGAATTTTCAAAATATATTATTGAAAATCTTTAGAAATAAATGACTTTGAATAATTGAATTTATTATTCATTGAGAACTTTTCATGAAATGTAGCCTCAAAACTTTTCTTTCTATATTAATAATGTGGTTGATATATACAATTTTGTTAAAAACACTCAGAACGTGCTGTTGTCAAAACTCATAGCTCAATAATAGCCTTTTTACACTGGGCGCGTCTGCTATCGATATCGGCATAGACGCAATAAAGCAGAAAAGGCGTTTACATTGGAAGACGTGCATCTTGAATTTGGATTTGGGTGTTTGATGACAAGGAAAGATACACAAATTTTTGAAAATCAACAGAATTAAGCAAGACGTCAGGAAAATGGACGAAAAAGAATTGATTCTCATATTTAAATATTATTTTCAGACATTTCATTGTAGAGTTTGTGGGAGTTCTTCTTCAAATTATGAAAACCACCGAAGTTCGTCTCCAGCAGTGTCTTAATGGCATCAGGGGGTCAGAAAAATGTCATATGATAATAATACAATCAGTTTCAAGTATTTTATTTAATGACTTTATGTATATTTTCACCTTTTTGCACAATCATACATTTTTAGCGCCAAAATTTGATTTTTGATCTACAATTTTTTGTTGTTCTTAGTGGTGATAGTTGCGCTGATAGGCAGAAAATCCCTTAACCTATGCTTAACCTATGTAAATAAAACTGCGTCTCCGGCAAGACGAAAAGAAGCATGATGCAGGCCCAATGTAAACAGCCTATAACTCCAGTTTGTGCCAGTGTAGACTCCAATTCTGAGTTATTGAGTTAACTCAACCATCGATAGTTACCTCATGTTGGTGTTATTAGGCTATTAGGGCTAACCTGTTGTAAAATGTCGTTCTTTATACAGTAAAACCCTATGCTAATTAATGTTTCTTAAATTATTTAATTTCATTCTAGTTTTCCACATTCAGGAATGGCTCCACGCTCTCGTCTCAATGGTACCTTGTTGAGACGTTTCCGAGGTACTAAGTCCTTAAACCCGCATCCAGGCCGCTCGAGCTCTCCTGCTCATTCGTCCCGAGACGAACACCGTCCTCGTCTTCCCATCCGTCGCCCCGTCGCAGAATCCCTGTTGCCATCCGTGGACTCCCTTCTGCATTACCAAAGCCTTTACATGCTCTCGAAGGCCCTGGCCGTGGTGGTACTGGATCAAAATTTTTGGAACGGCAAAACTTTAAGGGTCGTGTCCAGTGTGAATAGTGTATTAGAGTCTCCCATTTGTTCAGCCGTAGTAAAGATAAAAATAATTTCAGCATTTAAATGATCAACCCAACAAATGGTAATTGAATAAAATATATATTTTAAAACGAGAAAATTTTGTTTTTAAGATTTAATTTTTTTCAGCAAATTGGGATAGGTTCCCCTAGTTTATTATATACCCCTGATGTTGAATGCTTGATTGTAAAAATTCACTTTTTTATATTCGTAATACTAAATTGTTTTCAGCTAACAAAAACTTCTTAAACGTTTCTATGTACTCCTGTGTATCTTTGTACTTGAAAACCGCGATGTCGCCCATGTTTACAACAACTTTAAAACGAAAACTCAGCACATGCGAAAAGACAAGAGACTGGCACAAGGGGGCTTACGCAATAAGTACCTAAATTAATATTAAATAAATAAATATTCCTAAAAAATATATTCACGAAGCTCCAACGAAATTCCTTTCCCACGGTACCGGTTGGGTGTCGATTGCCTTAGGTAACCCTCTGCTACCGGGCAACCCACTCGGCAATATATATCTATGTAAGAACCTTCCAACATTGCGAAATAGAAATAAGATATCTGTTGTAAGGTCCTATCTCAGGCTGAGGTATGCTTCAGTCTGTCCAGGGTCCTATATTACAAGTTATTTATAATTCGCAGGACTTTATTTGGAAAACCAGGAACTCGGCCAGCAACTGAAATAGAGTTGGTTATTTGGAATCACAACACGTTTGGTTTATGATGAAGTTCTAATTTGTATATTTATTTAATGTGTTTGAAGCGTGTGAATTCAATTGAACTGCTAGCTAACTTTCAAACGAACTGAACTGCAAACCGAACTGAACAGGGAGAACTCCGATGGGGTGATTGCATTTCCTTAAATTTCGATGGCACGCGCGCTGAGTCTTCGGTTTTCCTGACTGCTCGCCGCGCATATGCTGAGGCTGATTTCGTTGGGTGATGACCTCGTCATTTGAGAGCTTTGGCTACTTGGTTTTGCTGTGGTTCTTGGCTTGCTTTCTGGATGTTATTTCTGACAATGCTGAATACTTCGCTGAGTTTGGTTGCCTTGCCGAGAGTGGTCTCTGGGGGACTCCCAGTGCCCGTCGTGACCATGGATCCCATGGTTCGTCACAAGCAGACGACGCAGCCAACGCCACTCCCAGGTGAAGCGATCAACACCCAGCAAAAACACAAACTCAGCACACGCCAAAAGACAGGAGACCAGCACAAGGTGCTTACGCAATAAGTACCTAAAATTATATTAAATAAATAAATAAATATTCCTAACAATATATATTCCCGAAGTGCCAACGAAATTCCTTTCCCCCGCTACCAGTGCACACCGATCACCTTACCTGGGACATTGGACACTTGTTGGCAGACGATTGCTTAGGTAACCCTCGATTACCGGGCAGACCCCCCACATGCGCGAGCCAGTCAGCAGTCTCCGACTTTCCTTACCGGGAATATTGGACACTGACTGCAGGGCTAATGATTAGGTAACCTTCTGTTACCGATCAGCCCGTCTGCACGCGCACACTACAATTCGGCAATATATATTTATGTAAGAACCCTTCCCACATTCTGGAGTAGAAATAAGATATCTGTAAGGCATTCATGGGAAAATCTGAGAAATTTCTTCAGTAGGTCAAAAGCAGCCATATAAATGGTTTTGCCATCTTGAGCAGGCAGGACATCGGTTGGACGACTGTCGCGAAGTTTGGTACAAATCTCTGGTACCAGGATGCCATCCCGATGCATTGACGAAGTTCTTTCAGGTTCGTAGGAGGCCGGAGTTCTTTGACGGCGGCAATTTTGTCGGGGTCGGTATGAATGCCTTCTTCGCTGATCATGTGGCCCAGATATTTGATCCGGCATTGAAAGAAACTGCATTTTTCCGAATTTATGCGTAGATTTGCTCTTCGTAGTCGAGAAAAAACCACTTCTAGATTGTGTAGGTGTTCATCAAAATCTCGCCCAATGACGGTAATATCATCTAGGTAAGCGAATGCGTAGGGTTCCATATCGGCGCCAATTACTGTGTCGAGGGCCCGCTGAAACGTTGCCGGCGCTGAATGTAGTCCAAAAGGCATCACTTTCCATTGATAGAGGCCTCGGCCTGGTACTGTGAAAGCTGTTGCCTCTCGACTTCCGTTTGCCATTGGTATCTGCCAGTTTCCATTTTTTAGATCGAGAGTGGTGATAAATCGTGCGTTTTGTAGACGTTCCAAGATGTAGTTGATTCTGGGCAATGGGTACGCGTCCGGGATGGAATGTTCGTTGAGTTGTCGAAAATCCACGCACATGCGCCATTTCCCATTATTTTTACGCACGAGTACGATTGGCGCGCTGTGAGGGCTACGGAAGGGCTCGATGAGACCTTTCGTTATCAATTGGTCCACTTGTTCGTCGATGATTCGCATCATGGCCGGGTTCTTAGGATAGTATCGTTGCCTGATGGGTCGATTATCCCTCATGACGATGGTTTGCTCGGCGATGTCTGAGGTGCCATGGAGGGTAGCGAACTTCGGTAGCTCTTCGTCTAGAAATGCTTGAATTTGTGGCGCTATGTCGGGTGGCCAAGGATCCGGGGCTGGTTCTGACTCGTCTTCGATCTCGGGGTCAAAGTGTTGGTTCGGCGCTTCGGGTAGGATGGTGGTGTCAAACGCGCTGGGTGGTTTGATTCTGCGGGGGAGTTCGCTGATGTGGGCGACAATGGGTGTGGTATGGACCATGGGTACGATATTTTGGTATGCTGGATGTAGTACTCGTGTTGTACTACAGCCAGACTGTGTTTGTGTTTTCTTGTTGTTGGCTTCGGCTTCGTGTTCGTGGGCCGGCGCTTTGCCTTTGCTGGGGCTGGGCTGGGTGTCGTGTTCTTCGTGGCGATCTGGGTCGTTTTATTCGTTGGGGTAGGTCGTAGTCGTGTGTTCGCTGGGGTTTGTATGGGTGTCATGTTGGCGTTGCTGGGTGCCGAAATCGTTGGGATAGGTTGCGGAGGTAGGACGGCTGCCGTTGGCTTCGGTTTCTGGTGTCGGGATTCGTTGCTTTGTACTCTGTTGGTCGGAACGGTGTGGATATGTGGTGTGGGGCACTGATCTCGTAATTGTAGAAGTGTGGTACCGCACTGGATCGTTGTTTCAATGGCGCATAGGAAGTCCATGCCGACGATAGCTTGATCCAACATGTTTGGTAGGACAAGTAGGGAACTTTGAACTTCTCTTTGATTCAGCCTGATGTGCGCCAGTACAATCTGGGTGATCTCTCTCACCGAGCCGTCGGCCAGGCGTATACGGACGCATACATATTGCAGGTTGGCGTTGTTGTCTAGTTGTCGGGCGAGGTTTGCACTGATAAAGCTTCGGGATGCCCCTGTGTCGACGGTGGCTTCTTTTGCCTGTCCTCCTATGGTTACCATTGCCCTATCCGGTTCTCGTTCATGTGTAGCGGATTTTTTATTCGAGGGTCGGGGGAGGCGTCGTTCCCGGCTGATCCCATGTCACTCGAGGACGCGAGTCATTTCCCGACTTGTTCCGGCGACAGCAATCGATGGTCCGCGTGACGCGCTTGCCACATTCCAGTCACATGTCCTGCTTCACCACACCGGCGACAGGCTGCGCGTGGGTTGGCGATGGGGGTCGTGATCATTCGATTTGCTACATCGGGATTTGCCGTACTTGCTGGGTTTGATGGCTGTCTCCTTGGTGGGTCTTCCGAGTCCCAATTGGGCTTCCGAAATGGCTGGTGCAGAACCAACGACTGGCACGGTCTGTGAGGATGGTAGCTGGTTTGTGTCCACCCCAAACGAGAGCGCGAGTTATGATCTTTAGTGAATCGGTTAAGATTTCTTGGGAGATTTGTTGTATGAGGTGGTTTGCGGAATAAAGTACGCCCGGAGTGGTTGAGTTTCAAATGTATTCTGATTCTATATTTCGTTTTTTAGGTTTTCAACTTAATTACAATTTGCTGGCCTTGCTCTTTTGGCCGGCAGAGAATCTGCTTACTCTCCATTCCTCAATCGGAACGGATGTTTGGTTGCTGAGGTCTGATATTTGTTTGTGTAAGTTGAGCCGGTGCAACTTTGTTGCAGAGTCGACGTTGTTGACGTTAGGGCCTGCTATACTAGCCGAAGTGGTTTCGGCGGGGCGAGGGTGAGGGTAGGTGCTGAGGTGGTAACTCCTCCCCCCTCAGTCTGAGCTACCGACCATAACGGAGGAATGGTTGGTGCGAAGGTGTGCGATGGTGTGGACGTGGGGTTCGAAGTAGTTGTTGCGTAAATGGTCGTCCTTTTTGAAAAAAAAACGGTGCATATCGCACCCACCAGTAGTACTCCGAGAGCTGCATACGTTGTTGTAGCCTGTATCACCATTTCGGTTCGCATTCTTCCGATTTCCAAGTTAGTTTTGATGTCCTCCATCTTGAGTTCGTGGACCCCCAATTCTTGAGTTGTTCGGTTTTTCTTCAAAGACATTATCTGTGGAATCTCAAGTTTCATGTGTCCCACTTCTAGCTGCTCTACTGACTCGTATTGGATGTTGTTAACTACTGTTCCGCAATCGTTGAAAATGATGATTGCTGACCCGCTGAATATTTCTTCTGGTCCACAATCCGTTTGTATCTTCACTTTCTCGCCATTGAAAATTGCGATATATCCTTTTTCCGGTTCGAAAATTTCTCTGCGGAATCCTATATCTTTTGTCTCACACTCCGTTGCCTCTCCATTCATCAGACTTCTCAGACAACCTTCGTTGATTCTCTTTGCAATCTTATCGTTTCTACATGTATAAAGTTTCCTTATTTGTTGGCATTTGTTCTTATAATAATACATTTTGTTGTTGTTATGAGCTACAAAATTAGGTGCTATTACAAATTCTGTCTTATTTATGGGTAATGATAGTATTCTTTTCAGTAAATACATTTCTTTCTTAAAAATTGGTAGGCTTATTGAAAATATTATGTCGGTACCATTCATTATGGCCTTTAGCTCTAAAAATTCGTACTTCTTGTATAGTCCTGAGCGTTTGCTCCAAATGGCCAACGCTCTTTACATATTCCTCTAGTCGGACTATGTGTATGAAGGTTTTATATGTTTGTATTACCCTGGCTGGTCCTAATGTGATTTGCGCGATAGGCTCATCCTCTTTAAACTCTCTGATTTCAAACGTTCCTTTCGTCTCCATCACTGCAACCCATCTGAAATTATTATTGATCATTAGTCTTGGTCACCTTTCTAATTTTCTCCTTGTGAATTTTCTGTGGTTTTGTTGTGTTTATTGTTAAATTATTGTCGGTTGCTACCTTATGTGTGGTGAACTTTGGTGTTAGCTTGTCCCGCCTATTTTCTTTTCTAAAAATCGTGTCGTTGGTGTTTACTTTTATTGGGTCCTGCCTATCTTCGTTCGCTGCTTTTATTCTTTTAACCTTTTGTTCTTGTACCCTTTCCTTTACTCTTGGGTATATTTCTGCCTGGAATGCATTAATTTTTTATAGATAATCGTGCTCGTTACTGAATGCCACGTTACCCATAAAATTGTGCGTTCTTCCAGTGAACAGCTCGTGCGGCGTAAACTTTGTTGCCGAATGAATCGAGTTGTTGTATGTAATAAATGCTTCCTTCACTATATCTTCGTGTTTTACCTCTAACTTCTTCTCCTTTTTCTCCTCTATTATTATCCTGTAAATTTCTGTTATTATTGAATGCAATCTTTCGACTGTTGCATTGCTCGAGGACTGTTGAAAGGATGTTGTGTGCAATTCTATCTCATATTGCTTACAAAAATCCTTAAACAGATTAGAAGAAAATTCCACTCCTTGATCGCAAACTATTTTACTGGGAATCCCGAAAAGCGCCATAAAGTCCCTCAATGATGTGACTACGTTTATGCTGTCCCTAGCTGGAATTGTGTATCCCCACGCATACCTGGAGAATTTATCGATGACCGTTAAGACGTACTTTTTGTTTACAAAGTAGAAATCTATATGCACTATTTGCATTGGTTTGGCCGGGGTTTCTGTTATACTATATTTTATTTTCTGGGGTTTCCTATCGTATTTCATTTTCTGACATCTGCCGCAGTTGTTAATCGTCTGTGTTATTATTGGCTTCATATGTGGGAAGTATAAGATTCTTTTGAGGTGGATTAATGTTTCCTCTATTCCCCTATGATTATTTCTTTCATGGTGTTCTTTGACTGCCTTTTCCTGCTGGTCTCTTTCTACTATTTCTGGTAGTATAAATGTGCATCTTATGGCTTTATAAATTCTGCTGTAGGCAAAATACTTACAATAAGCATTCTGTATAACTATAACACTAGTCAACACGATTTTTCCTCAAGGAACAAAACGAACTTTTTCTTAAAGATTTGGGGCTTAGAAATGGTTTGATGATATTTTTTTTTTTTCTATGGCAGAACTTTTTTTGAAGAATTTTTGAAAACTGGTATTTTTTTTAAGCTTTTTTCAGAGGTAGCGCTTGTTTTTTCACGTAGCTCTAGTATATTACGTCTGGTTGTGAAGAACTTTGCTATTTTGAAAAGGTAATTAAAACAGCTAGAAGTTAAGCCCAAATACTTGTGATTTCAGCTTACCGTCTGGGAAATAAAAAGCATTGAAATGCAAAAATGATGATTTTTGTGCGGTATTTGTTACGAAATTTTGACTTTAAAAACTCAGGAAAAGTCGAAAAAAAATTATATCTTGTGTCCAAACGAACAAGGGTTGTACATTTGGTACCTGATCGCGTTCCTTTGTTCCCAATGGGCAGTTGGGCTCGCAACCTTCCAAAAGGTATTTTTTGTTCATTTTTTTCATATTTTAGGTTTGGTTAACGAATTTTAGCTCCAAAGTCTCTCCATAGATTTTAATGAGCGATACCTTAAACGACGCCAAATTAACGCACCTATACACAAAAAAATAGAGGACACAAGATATAATTTTTTTTCGACTTTTCCTGAGTTTTTAAAGTCAAAATTTCGTAACAAATACCGCACAAAAATCATCATTTTTGCATTTCAATGCTTTTTACTTCCCAGACGGTAAGCTGAAATCACAAAGTATTTGGGCTTAACTTCTAGCTGTTTTAATTACCTTTTCAAAAAAGCAAAGTTCTTTACAACCAGACGTAATATACTAGAGCTATGTGAAAAAAACAAGCGCTACCTCTGAAAAAAGCTTAAAAAAATACCAGTTTTCAAAAATTCTTCAAAAAAAAGTTCTGCCATAGAAAAAAAAACATAATTCTTTAAAAAATTTTAAATCCCCATATCTATCAGAAAAAGTCGGTTTGGATCCTTGAGGAAAAAAAAAGTTCGATTTTGTCGAGTAGTGTAATCAGCTCGTCTGGTATAAAAATTGCCACCGTTCTATTGGGCTTCAGAATCTCTTTAAGCCTGCGTCCTATTGTCTCCTCTTCGAAGTTATCCTCGGTCCATGTTATCCTAATCTTGTTCCTTAAGGGGACTTCCTTCATTATTCTAGCTGGGGTTCCCTTTTTTACTACTATTTGAATATTATAATCGTTTAGTGGTTTCTCCGATATAGGAAATCCGAGGTGTAAGTCTTCTTCTGCGGAATGTATGGTTTCCCCGTTAGTCGCTACTTCCGACATGTTTTCCAGCATGTTAATCTCTGGCTGTATCCTACTCAAGGCGTCTGCCACTACGTTGAGGGATCCTTTCTTGTATAGGATTTCATAATCGTATTCTAGCAATTGCAGTTTCCACCTAACCAACTTTGAATCTGGTTCTTTTATACTCATTAGCCACGTCAGCGGTCTGTGGTCCGTGACTATTTTAAATCTCTGTCCGAATAGATAGTGTCTGAAGTGCTTTATTGCCCAAATAATAGCAAGCATCTCCTTTTCTATCGTTGCGTAGTTTATTTCCGCGTCTGACAATGTTCTACTAGCATACGCCAACGGTCTGTCCGCTCCCAAGTGTCCTTGGGACAGGACAGCTCCTACGGCATAATTGCTTGCATCTGTTGTAAGAATAAATGGTTTCGAGAAGTCGGGAAACTGCAAAATGGGGTCGTTACACAACAGTGTTTTACATGTTTCGAATGTTTCTGTGAATTCTGAGTCAATTTGTACTGGTTTTTTCCCTTTTAGCTGCCTCGTTAGTGGTTTTGTTATGGCCGCGAAATCCTTTACGAACTGTCTGTAATATCCTAAAAGTCCCAAGAATGATTTTATTTGTTTCCTAGTCCTTGGGATTGGAAACCTTTTTATTGTTTCTATCTTCTTGGGATTCGGTTTAACTCCCTCTAAGGTTACTACATGACCTAAGTATTCTTCCGCGGAGAATGCCGTCTTCGGTATATCCTTTTCCTCTACCTCGATCTGATGATACCCGCTCGCCAAGTCTAGCGTCGAAAAGTATTTGGCTCTTCCTAAACCATTATTGGCATGGGGTACCTGTCCTTAATCAGTTTTTCATTGAGTTTCCTATAATCGACTACCATTCTCCATTTTCTCTGCCCTGACGCGTCCTTCTTTTTGGCCACCAGCCACACTGGGGCACTCCATGGGGAGTGACTGTGTCTAATGATCTTTTGTTCCAGCAAGTTTTCTATTTGTCTTTTCACCTCCTGTCTCTCCGTGAATGCGTATCTATATGGCCTTGAGTACACCGGGATATCGTCCGTGGTCCTCACCTGATGTTTGACGACGTTTGTGAACGACAAGTCCTCTCCCTCCATATAAAATGCCGATGGGTATTTTTTACATAGTCTTTTTAATTCAGTGATTTCTTCCTCATTCAAATGATCTGTTCTTATCTTATGAAACGGAATTCCTTTATTCCCTATATCTGTTCTGCTTTCTATGTTATTTATTTCTATATGCTCTTGAGCTTTGAGTTCTGAAACCACTAGTGGTTCCTCTAGAAACAATTCCTGGTCCTCTTCCGAATAGTTGGTTATCTCTACCAGACTCTGTCCTGCTGTTGCCTTATACAGGCCTTCTGATATTTCCATATTAGGTTTTATTTTCGTTTTGTTAATTAAGAACTCCCCATCCTGTAACTGTACCGGCACCTGTATAACCCTTTTTGTGCCCGCTTCTATCGTATATACCTCCGTTGCTCTGCATTGCGTCTGCCATATCTGTGTTTCTGTTGTCGCTGTACGCAGTTGTCGTTTGTCTACATCGATTACTGATCCTATTTGTTGTAGTATGTCTATTCCTACCAGTCCATCGAAAAACTGATGAAACTTAAAGAGGAGCAGTCTCATCTCTCCTACTCCTCCCAGTTCTCTGAACATGGCTAAGACTGTCTCCTTCTGAACTTCGTGGGATCGTACGATTGTTTTTATTTTTATTGTTTCTTTTAATCTACTAATGTGTTCTGCGGGTATTAATTCCGGTCTTATGAAAGAAAATGTGGATCCTGTGTCTATAAGCATTTTAATATTTTTGTCTGCTGCTAGCCTAACCACTATATAGGGTAGGGTCGACTGATTCTTCTTTCCTCCTAAGTACCCTGTGCTTTGTTCGAGGCTGTCTGGAGAAAATTTCCGTCCTCTTCCTGAATATTGTGTAGCTGACCAACTGCAGCTGCTTGTCCGCTAACTCTAGTTGAAGTACTAGGCGTCTGCTGTGCTGCATACGACTGTCTGGAATTATTGGAGTTATATGACTGCCCTGTGTTATTTGTCATTCTAGACATCCTCGACTGTCCACTTCTCCCTGCGTCTTGTGGTACCTGGATCGCTAATTGCTCTTGGCGATTGTTCTGGCCCCAACGCCTTCCATTGTTCTGTTGGTCATAGCCCCATCTAGGGTTCCTATTCTGCTGGTTCCGATATGGACCCCTAGTGTACCCCGCTTGTTCGTTCTGCATAAAGGGAGCTCCCCTGAAGGGGTTTCCTCCCATTGGGTAGACGAACCCAAAACCTGGCCATCCGCTCCCATCAGTCATTGGGAACGGCATACCGAACGATGATTGTCCGTTCCCTCCCCATTGGTACTGTGGCCAATTTGGCGTTTCCCGGTGCACCCCTGGCGTCTGAGTTTCTTTCCTGTCGTGCTCTTGCACCAAAGGTTGTTTAGTTTCCTTAGTCTGGTTCCCTGTTATCGGGTGCTTTTTTACCTCCTGTTCCGGCTCGTCTAGAATATAGATATTCTTCTCTCTACAGGCCACTTCGTATGCCTTTGAAATGTCATCTACATGGATATTCCTAATTGTTAGCCCTATCGGCCCTTTTATTGCCGAGAGGAAGGCGTTTAGTGCTATGTCTTCGTACCACTTGGTTCTTTCCTTCCTTAGCACCGAGTTCGGTTCTTTCACCTTACCCAAGCTGACGAGGGCCTTTCTTAACTCCAACACTTATTGATATAGTGGCTCTAAGTCCAAATTTTTCTCCTTTATGTTTGTAAGTTCCATGATTAAATCCTGCTCTGATCTTTTATCTCTAAAATGAGACACCAATGCCTTCTTAATGTTGTCCCAATTCAAATCTACCTCATTCAACTCCAATGCCCTATCTGCCGCTCCTATTACCTTGCTTCTTATGGCCCTAAGGGCTATAACTCCTACCGATGACCTTTCCTCTTTTTTTATAAGGCCTAATATCTGTTCTACCGCTGATATAAACCCATCTAACTTCTCCACACTTCCTTCATACTTTGGTATAATCTCCACTAACTCTATGACTCGAACCGCTTCGAGTAATTTTGTGTTGCTGGGTTGGGTCATTTCTAATTGTCCCTGGTTCTCGTCACTAACTGCTGAAGCCTCCGTGTCTACCGGAATAACCCTTTGGCTACTGCTCTCCTTTGACATATAGTCTATTTCGATTATTTTCTTTTCTTATTTTACGTATTTTATAGTGTTTGTGTGTATAGTGATTTGTGTAAGGTGTGTATCGTATCTTAATTAGAATGTGTGCTTGTGTAATTCTATAGTGTGTGTTACTTAAGTGTTTATACTAGATCGAGTTTGTCCTTGTGTGTCCTTGTGTTCGTGAAATGGAGTCCGCAATTGATTAAAATGAGTATCTTTCCGATCGTACTTTTCTAATAATATGGTGTGCCGTGAAATGGTTTATTCTTCATTTATAGTTATTCGATCGCCTTATGTGCGTCTTTTTATTTACTTTGTGGCTTTACCTTACACGCTGAAGCTAGTCACAATACTGTGCGTTACAGTATCTGTAACCAATTGCGGACAGTCGTGTCTCCCTGGTAGCGTTTCCCTGTTCCATCTCCCTGTCACCCCTATGCTAGGCATCCGCACTGTGCGTTACAGTACTTTGCCCTACGCATGTGAGTGGCTGGAACTTGTAGTCGACTCTTCACTTTTTCTCTTTATCGCCCCTATGCTAGGCGTCCGAACTGTGCGTTACAGTACTTTGCCCTACGCATGTGAGTGACTTGGATTGCGTATCTTTTAATTTGTATCGCCTCCTTCGCGGAGTCTTGGCCATCACCATTTTCGGTGTTTTATTCATTGTCTTTTGTGCCCTTTATCTTTTCGTGCCGGCCCTGTCTCTATGTTGTGTGTGTGTGAGTGTCTTCGACCGTTCGATGCTCGACTCGACCCGACAGAGTGTTTAGCGTTACCTCCGTCGAACCAAACCGTCGCTGCTGTAGTCCCCTCCAACGACCCGATCATTGGCACAATTACTCGTACTCTCGACTCTATGATCGTATCGGCCCCTCGGCTTGTCGTCGAACCGACAGCAACTGCCCGACTCACCGTCGAACCGCATCCGCTCGAACCGCACTCGGTCGAACCGCTGCCGATCGAACCGCAACGATCGACCCACCGCCGCTCGAACCTCGCACGATCGAACCGCTCCCTCTCGAGCCGCCGACCACCGACATTTTTCCACGACACTTTTGCACTCTTTTCTCCTCACTCCTCTCTGATTTGCAATAATTATGCTCGTTTTGGTCCGAATAACTCGAATCTCCACTGCCCTGGCCAACGTGCCATACTATCTCTCTTTTAATGATTGCCCATTTCACTGCTTACCATTGTATTCCCGTACTTTTCGTTCTCACAATTTGAGGGTTTATTACATTTTATTTCTTTATTTATTTATTTTTTTTTTTCTCCTCCATTTCACGTCACACTACTCACACGTACATATTTTCTGATATCTTTCCTTACAGGATTGTTAGTGTCGCTATTTTCCAATACATCTCTTGCGTGGTTCTCTCTCGCTGTCTCGGTCCTCTAGGGTCCTACTTCCTCCAGATTTCCGTCCTTTAACGAGAGTGTCCGACTTTCTTTGGATTTCTTGGGAGATTTGTTGTATGAGGTGGTTTGCGGAATAAAGTACGCCCGGAGTGGTTGAGTTTCAAATGTATTCTGATTCTACATTTCGTTTTTTAGGTTTTCAACTTAATTACAATTTGCTGGCCTTGCTCTTTTGGCCGGCAGAGAATCTGCTTACTCTCCATTCCTCAATCGGAAAGGATGTTTGGTTGCTGAGGTCTGATATTTGTTTGTGTAAGTTGAGCCGGTGCAACTTTGTTGCAGAGTCGACGTTGTTGACGTTAGGGCCTGCTATACTAGCCGAAGTGGTTTCGGCGGGGCGAGGGTGAGGGTAGGTGCTGAGGTGGTAACTCGCTTGATTCCCCATTTTCGGATTCGTTCCGCCATGAGTGCAGCGTGGTTGTAGTGCTGCCCTTCCATGGGTCGGTCGATCGATGGCACGATCCTCGGTATGGGCGCTGGGTGAGTCTCTGTAGCTAGACGCCTTGGAAACGGGGCTCTGGTTGTCCCTAGTCGTGATATTCCATGGTGATTTTCTATTGATTTTGGCTCTGAGTCACTGTTTAACGGCTCTTTTAGGATCGGCACTGCGTATATATTCGCGCCCGCATTACGTGAGTGAATTATTGTTTAGCTTACCTTGTCTTATCAACTTTTGTTTTGATGGCAGTGGGTCTTTAATCCACGAAGACCCTGATTTCTGTTTTCTTGAAATGTTCCAAAAAAAATCCTTTTAAGTCCATGCTCGTGCGCCACTTGTGAGGACCTATCTCAGGCTGCGATATGCATCAGTCTGTCCAGGGTCCTGAATTAACAGATATTTTATAATTCACGAGGACTTTATTGGGAAAACAGGGACTTTACCAGCAACTGAAATAGAATGGGTAGCGAAATCACAACACTTTTTGGTTCCTTGAATTTTTAATGGCTTTCTTTATTCTTGCGTGTTATCATGCTACTTGGTTGCGTATTTTTTATTTGCCTGACTCCTATGGTTCATGGACTCCCGATCGGCTGCCTCGTCTCCACGCCATACAGTGCCTATTAGAGATCGGCCGGGCATCGATTTTCCCACCAATGTCTTACAGTGTAACGAACCTTGGATCCCATGGTTCGTCACAATCAGTCGGTGCAACCAACGATACACCAAGTAGAATATATCAACACCAACAAATCCGAAGACGCAGCGCGGATCGAAAGACAGAAAGACAGAAAGACATTGACCGAAGAAAGAAAGGAAACAGAGAACTCAACACACGCGCGGCCAATAGACGGAAAGGCGCGGGCCAAGATTATATAACCGGCCCCCACCACAGCAAAACCAAGTAACCAAAACTCTCAAACGACGAGGTCAACACCCAACGAAATCAGCCTCAGCATATGCGCGGCGAGCAGTCAGGAAAACTCAGCGCGCGTGCCATCGAAATTTAAGGAAATGCAATCACCCCATCGGAGTTCTCCCTGTTCAGTTCGGTTTGCAGTTCAGTTCGTTTGAAAGTTAGCTAGCAGTTCAATTGAATTCACACGCTTCAAACACATTAAATAAATATACAAATTAAAACTTCATCATAAACCAAACGTGTTGTGATTCCAAATAACCAACTCTATTTCAATTGCTGGCCGAGTTCCTGGTTTTCCAAATAAAGTCCTGCGAATTATAAATAACTTGTAATATAGGACCCTGGACAGACTGAAGCATACCTCAGCCTGAGATAGCACCTTACAAGTGGCGCCCGAGCAGGGACTTTAAAGGATTTTTGAAAGAAAATTTCAAGAAAACCGAAATCAGGAACTTCGTGGATTAAAGACCCACTGCCAGCAAAAGGAAAATGGAATAGACAAGCTGAACTCAACAATAATTCACTAACGTAATCGGGGGGCGAAAAAAGTCGCGAAAGTATACGCAGTGCCGATCCTAAAGTGCCGTTTAACAGTGACTCAGTGCCAAAATCAACAGAAAACCAGAGGAGGCATACCCTGCGGGACACTTTTCCAATCCAGGGGTCAGCTCTGGCTGGATCCACAAACTCCGTCGGGACGATCTAGAAGTCCTCGCCGAAGATTTCGGACTCGGCTGCGAAGGAACGGTCGATGAACGCCGAAAGAAATTTGCCGCACTAGTCGCCGGGCCACTCGCGCAAGAAGCCTGGGTTCGCTTAGGAGAATTCGAGAGGCAGTATGCCAAACCCGCCGCACGCTCTCGCTCCACGTCACCACTGCCCACTACTCCTGGACGATCCGACACTCGCCAAATTGATCCTAAGATCCTACGAGTCCCCGCAGCCACCGAATACCGCACTCCTGCAGCCCTGTTTCCAAGGCCCCTAGGTACAGAGACCCACCCAGCGCCCGTACCGAGGGTCTTGCCAGTGATCGACCGACCAATGGAAGGGCACCACTACAACCATGCTGCAAATTTCCGCCAGGAATTCTTAACGTTCTTCTTGCCACCACGGTATTTTGAACAATTGGAAGACCAGATCCGAGCCCGCAAGCAAGTGGCGGGGGAACTGTTCAAAGATTTCCTCATCGAGATACGTCTACTCATGCACCACGCTGGGTACGACGCAACCAAGGAGCTAACCAGGATCTACGACAACGCCCTCCCAGCATACCAGATGTACGTGCGCCGCCACGAACAAGACTTGTCACAGCTAGCACTGCTGGCCACGGAGTCTGAGAGTATTCAAGAGCGGACCATCCCGAGCACTCTCGCACCACCACGACACACGCCCAGATACGCACGGCTCGGTCAGAGAGATCACACAGATTCTACTGGCGCGGATCAGGCTGGATCAAAGAGAAATTCAACAGCCCAGATCACCGCGAAGAA